ACGACTGGGTACCCCACGTGCTTGGTCCACACATCCATAACCTCCTCGACGCTCTTGCCGCTAGCATCGCCAAGAGCAGCCCAGAGATCACCAGTCTGAGTGTTGCCGTAGGCATGCTTCTTGAGGTAACGTCTAACACCCTCCAAGAAGACATCCTCGCCGAGGTAGGTAGAGATCATGCGCAGAACACAAGAGCCCTTGGAGTAGGAGATGGCATCGAAGATCTGGTTGATTTCGTCGGCACGCTTGACAGGAACCTCGATGGGGTGAGAGCTCCTGAGGGAGTCAAGGGCGAGAGCCCGCTGGAGGTTGTCCGTAACATAAGTTTCCCAGACCTTCCACTCAGGGTAAAAGATGTTGCAAGAGTACCAAGAAGCCCAGGTAGCGAAGCCCTCGTTGAGCCAGAGGCCATCCCACCAGTCCATTGTAACCAGGTTACCGAACCACTGATGAGCAAGCTCGTGCTGGACAACCTCGGCGACGCGCTCCTTGGTAGCAGCACCGCTGACCTTCTCGTCCAAGAGGAGATCGACAACTCGGTATGTGACAAGACCCCAGTTCTCCATGGCACCCTGAGCGAAGTCGGGAATGGCAATCTGGTCCATCTTGGGGAGAGGGAACTCGATGCCGAAGACCTTCTCGTAGAAAGCGAGGGTCTTGGCAGCAAGGTCGAGCGAGAAGCGACCGTGCTCGATATTCTGTCCGGGAGGAGCGTAGACGCGAACGGGGACACGGAAATCGTTAGTCTCAATGTAGTTGAGCTCACCGACAACAAAGGCGACGAGGTAGGTAGACATGAGGGGCGACTTGTTGAAGGTAACGGCCTTCTTGCCATCCTTAACCTCAGACTCGGAAGCAACATCCATGTTGCTGAGGCAGGTCAACTTCTTATCGGCAATGAGGGTGACGGTGAACTCGGCTTTCAAGGAAGGCTCGTCGAAACAGGGGAATGCGCGGCGAGCATCGGTAGGCTCCATTTGACTGACGGCCAAGAGACCTTGTGTGCCATCAGGGTTGATGTAGGTCGACCTGTAGAAACCGGCCATCTTGTCGTTGAGCTGGCCAGTGAACTGGATCTCGAGCTGTGCCTTGGCGCCCTTGCTGACGGCATTGTCAAAGTCGAAGGTAGAGACCTGGGTAGTCTCGTTGTAAGAGACCTTGGGCGACGAGCTATTGGCAAAAAGTTAGCTTGGTCGTAGCCATAGAATCAATGCAGGGGCAAAGTAAGTACAACAAGTGAACAATACTGCGGGGGGCGGGGAGGTGAGCTCGCTGACCTAACAGTCTGACCACCAGAGGTGATCTTGGCATTGTGAATGTCAATCTCTAGAGTGTGGAGGGAGATAGACTTGGAATCCTCCTCGACATCGAGGTCGATGACGACGGTACCATCAAAGGTGAGCTTCTGGAAGTCGGGCTCGAGGGTGATGTGATAGTGTTTGGGAATGACGTTGGTGGGGAGAAGCTCGCGGCCCTGGATGTTGACCCCACTTGCCACATCGGCTTGGGCGTGTGTTCTGCACATCTTGTGGTTGCGATACGAACAGTAGCGGACAGGAGTTTGGTTGCGACGAGGGCGGACTGGTCGGGTTGCTGAAAGACGTTGGCGGGGGGTCAATGGCGAAGCAGGAGTAGAGGCAACAGAGTAGAAGCGTGATGGTCCTGGGGAGGAAGTCGAGCTATAACTGCGGGGGAATGATCATATCAGCGCTTGAATTCCATTGGACTGCCTTTATTGGAGGTCCCCTAGCCCCTTGACTATCCGCGGCTGTCAGTGTGTCCAGATGTTCACTGGAACATCGTCCACTTTGAGCCCTCCGCTTATGACGGTGCGTGCGTGGGTCCCGGTTCTCGCCAGATCTCCCCCCGGACTGGACAGCTTCCATTTCCGTCGCTAAACAGGCAGGTGGTCTTTCTTGGGTTACCGGGCTACTTGGGCTTACAGAGAGGCGGCGAGTCTAGTCGTGGCTTGGTGAGTTCCCAAAAGTGAGATCTTGGATCGAGGCAGAACACTTCTTGCTCCTTGACAAGCAGGCCGAAGAGAAAGACAGTTGCGAATCATGATTGACCGACAATGTAAACAAACGAAGAAGTAAGAATGTCCTTATATGGAAGTACAGTGGAACCGGCTGCGTATCGTCCTGTCAAACAGCCCGGTTACGTAGAGGTATAGTGCAGCACACAACAGCCGCAGAAGGAGAAGACAGACCGTAGAGGTACAGAATGAGACTGACGTTTGCAGGCAGTGAGTGAGGACGCACAGCAAGCGGTCGCGTTAACAATTTTTTTGCGACGCACCGGCAATCCCTGCCTTTAAGTGATTGGAGGGAAGTCAGGGAACCCCTCGAAACCCCTCCATGCCACCTGCCCACTACGGGTTGGGGTGCTTGGGGCGTTTGACGTCGCCTGAAAAGCGCGACATTGGTTGACTCTGGAGATGTCGCTGAGTGAGTTGAATGGACGGCATTATGCTCGATTTGGCAGGCGGTCTGGAAGCTCAGCCGACTGTAGCCAGCAACTGCCCAAACAATACTGATGTTTCTGCTCCGTTGACAAGTGAGAGACAAGTGAGGGTTGATTGTGTTTCATAGACCTAAACTCGGTCATACAGTAATGGTTTCATGCAACGCCCTCTCAAACGTACGTTTTGTGGTTACGGCGGGAGCATGTAGTGTAATAGATGAGCGAGTCGCGACAGCATCCGAGTTGAAGCAAATGTCAGGCGAAAAGGGTTGTGGAAATTGATTGAGAATGTGTTGGAGAATGAGGGGAGAAGAAAACAATTCAGTTACATACGGGTATCTCGTGGCCAAGTGCGCTTCCTGTCAAGGCTTGCCGGGTACCGCCTTTCCTCATAATATGCCTACCTCTAGCTTCTTGCCATTTGTAAATAGCTTCCTTCCTTCCTATATTCGTTTGTACTATCCCATAGCCTCCGGTTGTGGCCTGTCCCATCAACGGCATCCTCTTCATATACGTCACGGTATAAGTTTACTATAGACAGAGGGGTGTGCGGTGCAGGCGCTGAGCTGCACGGACTTGTCGGTCCCGTCAGCATAGTGTAGGTTACCTCTGCATTGCAATGCCATTGTGTAAGTAGGTCAATGTCAACGTCAAACGTCAAAAGATGCAGGGTCCTGATAGGGCTCGATCGGGCAAAATCTGCGGAAGCAATCGACAAAAGACGTTGCAGTGCGTTGCCTCCGGTCAGCTTTGATTTTGACAGCAATCAACCGCGTTCAACCTTAATCAAACCTAGCAATGATCACGGTTCTTTGAAAGACGCTCGTGAGCGACCCGATCTCCGAACCATAATGACATGTACAACAAGAATAAACTTGCAGACATAAAAGTACCAGATGAAAAGAAGCAGAATAGGTATGCTTGCTTTACCTCCAAGAGTCCTAGCTGGGTACCTGTTCGGAGTAGTTGGGAGTCATTGGATCTCCATTCGCCCCAGCTTATGAACTTTCAGACTTGTCAGCTTTTGTTGTACGCAGTAAGGCTAGTAAAGGCTAAACTAGATGACGAGAGTGAGCTACCGACAAAGAGGCAAAGATGATGCACAACAACCCAAAAGTCGTCAGCGTGGGGTGAAATTGCCGTTGATAAACAAAACACCCCACGGAGGAGCCTAATGACGGAGTTTGGCTCCATTGACTAATGATCCATACGGCAAAACGCCAGAGCAGAGACTGGAGCACGCATTGAGCTGGGCCGATCGATCCGTGATAGCTTGAATTGTACCGAACGTGGCCGGGGACGGCATTCATATTTTATCGGGCAGCTGCTCCGTTCAGACCGGTCGACGGAGCGGTGAGTGATGGCGGTATTCAGAGTTTCCGGACCGTAAACCTTCCCGAATCTTCTGCGGACACGGCGGGGTAGCTTCATTTTTGGCCGATAAAAGCACCGGGATGTGGAGGGTTCGGAGGAGTCCATTGGTTTTTAGCTCACGGCGCCAGACCTTAGACTCATATGACGTTCAGAGATGGGTGCCGGCACCAAAAATATATCAAATTCAGAAGGTTGCCCTAATGAAAGACTGCAAGAATTTTGCATCGTTCAGACGCTCAAAATGAAGAGGTCAGGCAGACCAGCCATCTTCTGTCCGCCTGGTATGTCTTGGCCTTTTTGTTGAGACCACGCCAGAAATAGAGCCTCAGAGCCGTGGTACCGACTTCCGTCGACTCACCACATTAGCCTGCCATCGGGTGAAACGAAAGAGACAGTTTCGCCCCATCCGTCTCGAGACCTCTGCCTTTGGTGTTTCGAGTTTGTCCGTTTGTCATCCGGTTGACATGGTGAATTGCAAAAAGCCAGGGTCTTGGGCCAGGAAAGGGCCGACGACGGATTCGCGTAGGAGTCCAGACGGAGAGGGTAGACGGAGGAGGGGTGGCTCCCGCGCGGGTGGTCGGCCAATGGCACTGAATGTCTTCGGCCAGGTGGGAGCGTCAATGGTCTCAAGGGTTGCAGGGTTCTTCTTCTTCACCTCATCGTCGTGGATGAATGCAACATTTCAACTTGTCTCGAGCAGTGCGGTGCAGATGTGTCGCTCGCCGCTGACTGTGCGTCCCTCGCCCTGAAAACAAAGTGCCCACCTCTGCTCTGCAAGCTGCAGCTTCTCGTTGCGAGAGTTTCTCACAGTCGCGACCAGCACTGCGTCAGGATTAGGTGGCCAGGTACCCGGTACGTACCCTGCGCAAGCTTCTGTTACGGGGATGAGCTCCCTGGCTGCAGACACCAGCAGGGGTGCAGCAACGGCTTGGCAGTGATTAACAGGAGGGGCGTTCCCTCTACTTACGAGGATCACCCCACCTCCCCGCCTCAATTGCGTCCTCTCCTCATCTTCCAACTTGTCAAGGACCTGAAAGCTCTTGCCGTTGCCAGGCCTCGTCCAGATTTAATATCCTGCTCTCTCCCACTTCTCTCCTCTCTTCTCCTTCCCGAAACTATCATCGCCCTTTTTTGTCCATACCAGACATACCAACCTGTAAGTGCCTATCCCGCATTGCTTCACTTGCGCTTCAGCATTAGGTCGCCTTATGATGGTGATGTCCTCCGACACCGCTCGAGTCTGATACAGCCCCGCCATCCTATTACTCCTCGACGAGGCTTGATTCGACTCATCCAAATATTTTTGTCCTGCGGGATATATCCAGCTTTGGCTCTTCTCATCCCAGCTCATAGTTGAGCAGAATCATCCAATAAACCCTCCCCATCATCATCATCTTTTTATCTTGAACCTTTCTTACAACATCCTCATCACCTTCATCCTGTCGCAACAACAAACAGTCTGTACTACCCTACCAAGCTCACCTGGGGTGCCTCTTACTTCAAAAGCAATGTTGCGTTCTCAACGGTCACATCAACAAGTGCACAAAGCTAACATCAAGCTGTCAAAAGATCCAAAATGCCCATCTCCAAGATCCACGCTCGCTACGTCTACGACTCTCGTGGCAACCCGACCGTTGAGGTTGACGTTGTTACTGAGCTCGGCCTTCACCGCGCCATTGTCCCCTCCGGTGCCTCCACTGGTACGTCAGACCGACGCTCTCTCATCCACTCTCCGATAGAAATGTACATCATGCTAACAATAACCTTCTACAGGCCAGCACGAGGCTTGCGAGCTCCGCGATGGTGACAAGACCAAGTGGGGTGGCAAGGGTGTTCTCAAGGCCGTCCAGAACGTGAACGAGATCATTGGCCCCGCTCTCATCAAGGAGAACATTGACGTCAAGGACCAGTCCAAGGTTGACAAGTTCCTCATCGACCTCGATGGCACCGCCAACAAGACCAAGCTCGGCGCCAACGCCATCCTCGGTGTCTCGCTCGCTGTTGCCAAGGCCGGTGCTGCTGAGAAGGGCGTTCCCCTTTACGCTCACATCTCCGACCTTGCTGGCACCAAGAAGCCCTATGTCCTTCCCGTTCCCTTCATGAACGTCCTCAACGGCGGGTATGTCTGAATGCCCAATCCTTTTTCTGCAAAGCAGTTAACTAACGATGTGGCAGTTCCCACGCTGGTGGCCGTCTCGCCTTCCAGGAGTTCATGATCGTCCCCTCCGCCGCTCCTTCCTTCTCCGAGGCCCTCCGTCAGGGTGCTGAGGTGTACCAGATCCTCAAGAGCCTCGCCAAGAAGAAGTACGGCCAGTCCGCTGGCAACGTCGGTGACGAGGGTGGTGTCGCTCCCGATATCCAGAACCCCGAGGAGGCCCTCGACCTTATCACCGAGGCCATCGAGAAGGCCGGCTACACTGGCCAGGTCAAGATCGCCATGGATGTCGCTTCCAGCGAGTTCTACAAGGAGGACGTCAAGAAGTACGACCTCGACTTCAAGAACCCCGAGTCCGACCCCTCCAAGTGGCTCACCTATGAGGAGCTCGCCAACCTCTACTCCGAGCTCTGCAAGAAGTACCCCATCGTCTCCATCGAGGACCCCTTCGCTGAGGATGACTGGGAGGCCTGGAGCTACTTCTACAAGACCCAGGACATCCAGATTGTTGCTGATGACTTGACCGTCACCAACCCCCTCCGCATCAAGAAGGCCATTGAGCTCAAGGCTGCCAACGCCCTCCTCCTCAAGGTCAACCAGATCGGTACCCTTACCGAGTCCATCCAAGCTGCCAAGGACTCCTACGCCGATGGCTGGGGTGTCATGGTCTCTCACCGCTCTGGTGAGACCGAGGATGTCACCATTGCCGACATTGTCGTGGGTATCCGCTCTGGCCAGATCAAGACTGGTGCTCCTGCCCGTTCCGAGCGTCTTGCCAAGCTCAACCAGATCCTCCGCATCGAGGAGGAGCTTGCCGACAACGCCATCTATGCCGGCGAGAAGTTCCGCAAGGCTGTTGAGCTCTAAGTGGTTTCATGCTGATGGAGACCCGTTCGGATGGAATCGGGACCTGGGAAGGTTTCTAGGGGTGACCGGTTGACCGACATGTGTTACCTCGGATGACCAAAGGACACGGGTATGGCTAATGAAAATGGCGGAATGACATAGAGTTTTAATGATCAATACCAAGTTTCTTTTACCCCATATGCGTTGGCAGGAACCACGTGCAAGTTTGTGACATGGATCGGTAGCGTTGGCCATCTGTTTCTCCCCTTTCCCCGCGATTCCCCGTTCCCATTCCCGGCCCGCTCCGGGCTACCCGGTACCAACACGGCACCCCTGTTACAGTAGTGCCTTGTTGTCAGGTCCGCAAGAGACTATGAACGCTGTTTTCCGAAGGAGGTCAGGATCTCTCCAAGTCGTTTGCACCCTGATAGGCTGGATTAGGCACGCAGACGACCATGTTAAATGTTGTGACTTTTCGTAGTCTAGTGATATGTCTAGCCGACTTTCGGTTATTATGTGAAGAGCTCCGCCTGTCCAACAGGTTAAAATCAACAACGGCAACAACACCGTAAATAAGCCCCGCTCGCCCGTGTTTCCCGGGCACGTTGATGGAGTAGCCGAATCCTGGACAAGGGTTTCCTATAATGGCGTACGCTTGTGATCATCGATCCATCTTGATGATCCGTCCCATGTTGCGGCGACCGTTAAATGGGGCAGTGAGAAGAGATGTGGCTGAACATTTCATCAGCCCCATTGACGTGCGATATGCAGTGGCTTTCTGAACCCCACCGTCTCAGTCCCTGCAGGTCGGAAGTTCCTGCCTGCCGGCACACATTGCGCCACACAGAAGCCGCTGCCAACAACACTTGCCAGCTGACCGCGCGGTTGCTATGGTGACTTTGCATGATTGTTTGGCCAAGGGTGAATCAACAAGCGCAGAAAATCCACACGCCCCTCTCCCTTCAACCCAATTCAGCATGGTCTAGATCGCCAAGGTCGTCATTTCTTCATACTGTACAGACTCAAAGACGACCCTCCCCATCGCGTCTCCCAAATGAATTGGTGAAAGAAAGTCCACGTTAGCGACAACGAACAAGCGACACACTGTCCCGATCGCGGGACCGTATCAACGCAAGAAAACAACAACAACAAATTGCTGGCCCCGCACCTTTTGACTTTATCGCATCCCAGACATTGAGCGATCGAAACATTTACGAGCGCGGGCGACTTTCGCCTTCTTACACGTAACAGCAGAGACGTCAGACAAGATGACACCCCAAGATGACTCCGTCAACTTTGACATTATTGAATCTCACAAGGAGAACATTCAAGCCCTCCCCAGCGGTCGCTCCGCCCGCAAACTCGCAGAACTCTTCTCTCCTTCACATGGCGCCAGCAGTTCGAGGCAAGCGCTCGCACCACAACTAACACCGACCCCGAACCCTACCGAAGTCAAGTCCGTCAACGACGCCATTCGCGCCGAATACGAAGCCGAGCTAGCCGCCTTCAATCCCGAAGAGCAAGATGATCCCCTCGACATCTACGACCGCTACGTCCGCTGGACTCTCGACGCCTACCCGTCCGCCTCAGCCACACCGCAGTCGCAGCTGCATCTGCTGCTCGAGCGCGCCACCCGCGCCTTCATCGGCAGCGCCCAGTACCGTAACGATGCGCGCTACTTGAAGATGTGGCTGCACTACATTCGCATGTTCAGCGATGCGCCCCGCGAGGCATTCGCCTTCCTCTCGAGACACCAGATCGGCGAACAGCTAGCGCTGTACTACGAGGAGTTTGCGGCGTACCTGGAGGGTGAAGGGCGCTGGGCGCAGGCCGAGGAGGTTTACAAGATGGGCATTGAGAAGGAGGCTAGGCCGGTGTCGAGGCTGGTGAGGAAGTTTGGCGAGTTCGAGCAACGACGGGCGGCACTTCCCGAGGGTGCTGAGGATCAGAGCAATAGCGTCCCTGTCCTGCCGGTGGTCAGAAAAGCGCTGGGCGTCAAGTCAGATCCGTTCCTGGCGGCGGGCGTGGAGAGGTTGCCTCGGGATCCGCAAGCGCCGAGACCTAATATGGGCGTTGGAGGAGCAGCTGCGGGACCGTCGAAGCCGAAGAGTAAGCTGGCAATCTTTTCGGATGCAGATGCGGCAGCCCAGCAACCGGCCCTGGGTTCTCTAAGTGCTGGTTCGAAGGGATGGGATAGTATTGGGAGCTTGGCTGATCGGAAGAAGGAGAATACCGTGGAACCGAAGCCGTGGGCCGGCGAGGTACTCAAAGCTGGCGGAAAGAAACCTGTACAGAAGATGCAGGTATTCAGGGATACGGTAAGTTTAAAACCCCCCATCACTCCTTTCCTCTCCTTTAAACCGATGTTGATCAAGAATAGGACTAATTGTTTACGATGGGTGGTGCGCTCGGCGTTCTGGCGCACTCGTTTTTGTATGTTATTGTACAGACCAAGAAGACTACGAATCCTATGATGATGAACAAGCAACAACTTTCTCAATCACATATTCCAATACACCATTCTCAGTCCCAGGTGACGGTGAACCCGGTAACGGGTAAGCGGGAGAGGGTATTTGTGGACCTCAGAGTGATCTACCCTACGCCTGACGAGCCCGGTACCGAGCTGAGTTTCGAAGAGATATGGGCTGCTCGAAGAGGTTGGCTGGATGTGGTCTGGGAGGACGAGAGAAAGAAACGACCACTAGATGCGATGTTGACTCCAAAGAGGGACGAAAATATGGAAGACCTGACGTTGGAGATGGCGTCGACCAAAATTGTGGCTTACCATGATGTTTTGAAACTGGACGAAAACGGGAAGCCCATCTACCCTGAACACAAGGCTGGCAGGAGCGCCAAGAAGAAAAAGGTGATTGAGGTGAACGAGACACAGATCAGTATGCACTTACGTCCCACGCCGACGAGACGTAAAACTTGCTAACGGACAACCATAGTCAAAGCCAAGCTGGACTCTCCTTCTGGGCCAAAGATGAAGAAGAGAGGCTCGTCATCAGAACCAACCATGACGCTGCACACGAAAGCAGCAACAGATGATATCTACGACATCTTCAACGCTCCGCTTAAACCTACAGCAAACCCCAGTTTAAGCGACGACGAGAACCGCTATGATTCGGATGACTATACTTGCGGTGTGGACGACACCTCAAAGAACCTTGCCACCAGTGAGGCAGGAGATGAGACCACAGTTGTAGAGGCAATCGAGGAAACGGATGTTGCAGACGAGGATGACGACGTCAAGAGCGAGTGGTCCGACTTCACAGCGCGAAAACACATTCCTGATTACCAAGGTGGTGGGGACGAAGACCATGAAATGACGGATGTTTTGGACGAAGAACTCAACGGCCAACCTGAAACCTCCCATTCACAGTTTAATCACAACAAGGTTCCGGACGAAAACCCAACGCAGGGTGGACGTCCCTTGACTCAAAACCCCCCACCCGCACCCGAAGAATCTCCTCCTACCACGAGGAATATCTTCGTACCAGTCCCTCCCGCAGACTACGTCCCGACAAGAAGGCCGTATCGAGATCCGGTAGAAGTGGCTAATAACCGCTTGCCCTTCATGACGCCTATCACAGAAAGAACGGAGGTCTCGTCGCTCGATGTCACGTATCACCACCCAAACATGCATCACCCTATCCTCACCAAGACCCCGTCTAAGGCACCGGGCCTGCATCACGACATGAGGGATGACATGTCCGTGGATGGTGAGGAGGAGGACGGCCAATATTCTGAAAATGAAGATGAAGATATGCTCGAGCCGGAGAGCAGTCCGCTGCGTGAGATTCCTGAGGGAAACGAGGAAGAAGAGGAGCAGCAAGAGAAGTTCTCGCCGATTCCAGTCTTTCATAGCCAGTTGGGCCAGAATCAGCCTGCGGTCAGATCCCCTCTCGCCGTGAAGTCAGTTACCACATCACCTTTGGCACACAGAGCGGTGTCTCCTCTTGCGCCCAGGCTTCCGGGGCCTATCATCAAAGAACTTCAGTGCAACCCCGTCGACGAGCTCGTCCGCAAGAAGATCCTCGCCAATGTTTATCCTCCCCTCACCTCGTACGAGGGCTTCCACGACCACCGCCACGAGAAGTTCCGCAAGGGCGCCGAAATCCGCAAGTTTGCTCAAGCCCAGTCCGCGGCTAGTAAGCGCGGGAGGAAGAGCACCTCTGCCGACAAGCGCGATTCCCTAAACGAGCCGCATCCTATCATGTTGCAGCTCCCCGGCAATCCCAGCACCAAGTACACCATCAAGAAGGAACTCGGCGCCGGTGCCTATGCCCCTGTCTACCTGGTCGAGAATTCCAAGCCTACTAAGACTGCCTCCCGAACTGGTTATGGTTATGGGCAACAAGAGAACGAGAACAACAACCTTCCCGCCCACCTAATCCGTCACCCCCGCGAAGCCCTCAAGATGGAACAACCCCCGACGGCTTGGGAATTCTACATAATGCGCCTCGCGCATACCCGCCTCCTCGCCGCCAACACTTCCTTACACCACCGCGCCCTCGCTTCCCTCAGCCCGGCCCTCGAGCTACACCTCTACCAAGACGAAGGCTTCCTCTTCCTCCCCTTTTTCCAGCATGGCACTCTGCTCGACGTGATTAACCTCTTCCGCTCAGAGTCTTCAGGCGTAATGGACGAGCAGCTAGCCATGTTCTTCACCGTCGAACTCTTCCGGGCCATCGAGGCCTTGCACTCGGCGGGCATCATGCACGGCGACGTCAAAGTCGACAACTGTCTCCTTCGCCTGCCTACGACGACGGATATCTTGCCGACTAATCAGTACCACGCCGATGGATCCGGCGGGTGGGCTGCGCGCGGATTGACGCTCATTGATTTCGGGAGGGGGATTGACTTCAGGCAGTTCAGAGAAGAAGTCCAATTCGTGGCGGACTGGAAGCCTACCGCGCAAGACTGTGCGGAGATGAGGGAGGGGCGGCCGTGGACGTGGCAGATTGATTACCATGGTCTTGCCGGGGTTGTGCACGCGTTGTTGTTTGGGAAATACATTGATACGGTGCCTTGCGGAACTTCCCACTCCAGGTCGTTCGGTGGCCTCGGTGGGAATGATCAGAAAAGGTATAAGATCAGGGAGAACCTAAAGCGGTATTGGCAAACGGATATTTGGGGCCATTGTTTTGATTTGTTGCTGAACCCCGGGAGCTATGTGGATGAGGAGGAAGGGGGGAATATGCCTGTCCTAAAGGGGCTGAGGACGGTTCGGGAGAGGATGGAGGGCTGGTTGGAGGCGAACTGTGAGAGGGGCGTGGGTTTGAGGGGGTGGATGGGAAAGGTTGAGGCTTGGTCTAGGGGGAGGAGGTAAAGAGTTACGTTGGTGGGAGGGAGGGTAAGCGATCGTAGGTTTGATTTTCGCAGATGGTGGATTGTTTTACTTTGCTATACACCGTGCCGGGGTTGACTGGTTAGGACACACAAGGAGTTGACAGGCAAGGCATCGAGGTTCTATTAAGAGCAAAGGACATTGCTGAACATGATGGGGGGATTTTGATTTTCTTACTAGGATGGACGTACAATTACTTTTCCATTCCCCCTTTTATGGTGGCATCTGTCTATGCAATCTTATATATATATACAAGCTTCAAAGCACCGTACCCCCAACTCCGTAGCTAAATAGTGTCTGTTCATTGTCGGTATACGATAGATCATGACAAAATAATGCAGACACTCCGTCTATGCTTGAATGCCTTTGGTCATCCATCGAGTTTTACTCGTGATCCTCCCCCTCACTCTCCTCCTTTACCTTTTTCTTGAAGAAGCTCGATATCGACCCTCCCGCAGCCGCAGCCCCCTTCTTTCCCTTCCCAGCCCCCTTCTTCGCATCCTTCTCAGCCTTCTTATCCACCTGCTCCTGGATCTTGGCCCTCTCGCTCGCCCCCCTTCTTTGCAACTCCTCCTCCATCTTTTTAAACTCCTCACTCTCCGCGTTCATCCCCACCAAGCTCTCCAACAACTTGATCTCATCCGCCCAAATCTGCTTATTCTCCACCATCTTCCCATCCGCCCCCTTCTCCTCTATCGGCGTCTCCAGCACCATCGGCAACCCCTGCACTGCCTCGTAGTTCATCAGGTTATGAAACGCTCTCAACCCCAGGAATCCTGTGCCGATATTGGCGTGTAGGTCTCTGCACGAGCCAAAGGGGGCTTTGCTATCGTTCAAATGGAACGCCTTGAGGTACTTCAAACCGACAATCTCGTCAAATCGCTTCATGGTTTTTTCGAAAGCCTCTGGCGTGCGTAAGTCGTGTCCCGCCGCAAAGGCATGGCATGTATCAATACACACGCCCACGCGGCTCTTATCCTCCACTCCATCAATAATCATCTTCAGATCCTCAAAGCGGGAGCCGATCACGTTGCCGGAGCCGCACATATTCTCAATAACTGTCACCACCTCTCCCGTCCCTTTCTCCTTATGCGCCCGGTTCAACTGGCTTGCAATACGCGCGCACGCTTCTTCGATGGGTTCCCCGCCCGTCGAACCGGGATGGAAGTTGTACAGCTTGATTCCCAATGTGGCGCAGCGTTGCAGGTCGTCGACAAAGTTGCCGTAGGCTTGGTCAGCTTTGGCTTTGTCGACCTGGGCGAGGTTGACGAGGTAGGAGCCGTGGGGGAGAACGTGCAAGGAGGGGGAGTAGCCATGGAGAGAGGCAAGGCGGGAGAAATCGGCGGCGGCGGAGCGGTCGAGGGGCGGTGATACCCATTTACGTTGGGATTTGAGGAAGACGGCGAAGGCGTTGGCGCCGATGTGCAGAGCGTTGGTGATGGAGTTTTGGACGCCTGTAGTTGGGGAGGTGGGAGTATGGTAGTGGTTAGTAATTTGGGGTGATTAAGGAGGGTTAGGAGAAAAGGGAGGGGGGGGGGGGGGGGGGGGGTAAACAAAACAAAAACGATGGGTGGTTGGTGAGACGACATACCTCCAGCACTGCTAACGTGGGCTCCAATGTAAAGCTTCCTCTTCATCGACTCAACTGGTGTCCTGGTTGCCAAGGGAGTGGCATCCTCTTCAGAAGCCTTGGTCTTGCGCTTCTTGGGAGCCGGCTTTTTTGCTTCTTCTTGGACAGAGTCCTTGTTCTCAATCTCTTCAGCATTGTCATCGTTTTCTTCCTCTTGGGCTTTGCCTTTGCGCTTCCTTGCAGCGACTTTCTTGACAACAACCTTCTCCTCGACAACCTCCGTCTTCTTGACACCACCCTTGGCTCGGGTACCCTTCTTGACGTCAGCGTCAGTCTCCTCGACCCTGGATTCCGCAATGGTGGCGGAAGATATTTTGGTTGCCGCCCGCGACTTTGCGCTGCGGGTTGGGCGACTGGGACACATTGTTGAGACTGGCCGATATGATCGCGAGACTCCAGAAGCACTTAGAAGGCTGAAGAGTCGGATGAAGCTGCGATTCATACAAGAGCAGAACAGAAAGAAGAAGAGAAGAGGTAAGGTAAAGTGGGTGTCACAATGATGTGGAGCACGTGTTTGCCGCGTATGGTAATTGTAAAGGTCATGACGCGCAAACCCGCGACTGCACGTGCAAGTAATTAAGACCCCTGTAGGTAAGTGCGGAGAGGATGCCAGTATGTAATTCAGTGTATGTAGTGTGTAGTGTATACCTTAAGTTCAGTTTGTCGTTTACTCGTTTGATATATGCCAAGACTTGGAGTGAAGTCTCGCCGAGACATCCTTCTTTAGTCTGCACGGTTCCCGTCACCGTCAACTTTAACTCGGAATGTCGATGTGCCGATCAAAACAAATCTTGACGGCTGTTCAGAAATTGTCGAAAAACTAACAAAAGGCTGGCTCTTCCCGTACCCCGGAACTAAGACATACCGTCAGCAACTCCATCACCAGTTGGGACAAATGAAGCAGGCAGCAGCATTCTGAACTTCCAGATACCCACCTGCTCCTTATTGCCTTGACCTGGTACCACCCGGAAGTTCCTCGAGGGAATCTCACCGACGGAAAGTGCCCAGACATTACCTACTTGCTGGCTGGTGATTTTCGAGATTCACTGTTTCTTGTCCCTTTGCCCCTTTTGCGGTAAAGCAATTGCTGACATGTCTCGGTATCTCGCCAACGACAGGGCTTGGACATGTAGATGCCACACTTACACATGAACCTCTCTTTTCTTTATTGTTTCGTCCCAGTCAGAGATACAGATCTGAATGGTCGAGTTTTCTCAGATCTACGCCTCCCATATGCGCACTTGCACGCCATCTTGTGATGTGCCGTTACACAACGCATGCTATTAAAAAGGACTGTAGCCGTTATTGAACGCTCGTACCCTACTGCCGGGTGGGCTGTGACGCGGAGTTTTGAGGCGAAAGGTAATCAAGTCACTCCCAGAGATTTACAACTCTCTACAGACTGTCCACCTTGTCAATAAAAGGTGTATCGAGGAGCTATGAGGACCCAAGTTTGGTTGGAACAAAAGCCAAGGGGTTAAAGTCCTTGCGCGACCGCCAATGGATAAATAAAGTAAAAGAAGGTACCAAAATGAGAACGTAACTGGAGGATCTCATGCACGGCCTAAATGAGACCAAAGTCTTCAGATCTGGTTCTGACCTTTTACGCCCCCATGGTAACCTACACTACTTGGCATCAAAGAGCCCCAACGAGCACAGCATAGCCGCCTCAAGTCGAAATCAGCTGGCGGTGAGGGCTGAAGGAAACATGGCTTGATTTGGCGTATCGCTGTTTGGAGACATCAAACGTCTCGAACTGGAATCGTCTGGAATACAAATCGATCTCTGGCACTTGGACTACCGAGTACAAGTTTCACCCGCATGATTTCTTTGCTCAGCTGAAGAATCCAACCTGCGCAATATCCCATTAGACTGCAATACCATTCAACTAACTGATGGTCCGGAGGGATGTTGCGATGGCTGCTGAAGTGTGACGGATGTTGATGGAGCGCGCAGTACGCAGTAGGCCGATCTGTTGGCGGCTTACGAAGCCAACCTCCACAGTCCACTTGTTCGCGGCTGGCTCGCTCCGCCCCGGGGCCTCCAAAAAGCCGCAGATACCACCCGGTCATGCAGGGCCAGAGATCCTATTTTCAAGTGTATTGTTCCTGATCGATACTGTTGACTATACTATGCTCGGATCACTTCAAGTCATCAAAGCCTCCAGGCTCGAGTCTCTCAAGTTCTGTGTGTCTCCAAGCACTACAGTACCTACTACCTACCACTACCAGCTACGCTACATCTGCCTATGTATACTGGTAGAGTTGCCTAATTCAGAGACGCCGGGTTGTTCCACGGCCCCCGCCATCTACAGCCCTAAGACGACGGGAGACGGGATAGAAGACCTAGCTTAAAGACTGGCGGCGATCAAACTAAGGGTTTCAGAAAGCAACTCGAAGCCTCTCACCCCACTCACGGGTGTCAACCAAATGCCAATCTGTTTTGGCTCTGGCGCTCTGAGCCGGCACTGAGTGGCCTCCAGACAATCGCTAAAATGGAAATTGAGGCCAGCTCAGTCGGGATCCTCATGCCCGCCGTCCGGCTGATTGCCACTGCACCATGCCGTTGCCGCCGCTAGCTCCTTCTGGCGCTGGCGTTTCTAGCGAACATTGGCGCCAGGTCGGCCGGGCCAGCCCCCAACCACAAACTGCAGGTGCAACCATCCCGGGACCGCCTGCCATTCAGCGTGCGACCAGAGCCATCCCATCAGCCATCTGTTGACTCGTCGTTTCCGGGGCCGTCATGTTTATCCCATTTCGTGGTTTTACTCACCTTTCTTTCCTTCTTTTCTCTTTACAATCTCCCGTCTCTTCGCCGTGTTCGATACCGTATCTCCAGCCCGGTGATCCTTTTATCACTTATCGTGTACATAATTTACCTCTACACTACAACAACAAGACACAATACTCTTCAAAAAAAAATGAACCAGCATTATCGTCTCTAAAAGTTAATCAATGTCCAACACCTTCGTCCTTTCTTTACAGTGACTCTTTTCTCCCCGTTAGCCCAACATCCTCCCGGCTCGGCTGCCGTAATTATATTCCAGCCCTACATAGAGTGCCGTCCGTACGATGGCAACCGTCACCGTCGATGAGGGCAGACGCTCCTCTATCGAGAAACCCACTATTACGACACCCGGTCACCTTCACTCTTCGGGCCCGACAGCATTTGAACGATTACCAGACGAAATCATCCAGCAGTGCGTCCTCATTCACTAGCTCTGTTAGGCGCAGCCATTTCTCTTTCTGTTTCCCGTGCATCGCATTCGCATTCCTAACCACAGATCGTATTGTAGGATCCTTCAAGCTGTCGATGCCAACGGCTTCGCTTCGCTGGTGCTGCTCAACGCGAAATGGAGAAGCGTCGCTCAGCAGGCCCACCTATACGCCTACCACTTATCCAACTGTCCATCCTACGCCTTGAGCCATCACAATGCCTCGCCTCCAACCGTTAGCGATGATGATCTCCCCAGACTTCGAAAACTGTTCGCAAAGGAGGTCAAACGGAATTTGTTCGAGGCGTACTTGCGTCCAAGGAAGACCATCATCAGGCTCATATCGCACTCGATCAGCTCTTCATCCGCGCCAGGCGGAGATGGCATCCAGTTCAGCCCGTCGCCAAAGGGCCACCACCTGCTAGCCTTCAACTCCTCCCGGATACATGTTATTGATGTTAGGCAACGAGACATTGCCGTTACCAGAGAGTTCAAGATTTTGCGCCGTCCTGCCGCCACATGTATCAACGATGAGGGAACCGTGCTAGCGGTTCTGTTGACCGAGATGCAAATCGACATTTACGATCTCAAGTCAACACCTCCAAGACGAACCCAGTCACTTATTTTGGACAACAGCCCTCGTGCGATTGCCCTTTCACCATGCGGCGGAGTTCTGGCAGCGGCTTACGAGGGTGGCATTGAGGTCTCTTCACTGAATCCCAACGCAACATCAACCGAAAGAAGAGCCGTCAAATGTGAGGCGGTCGATTCATTGACCTTTTCGTTCGACGGGACACAGATTTTGGGTACTACGGTTCATGCGCCACAGCCCAACACCGTAATTCTGACCGCGCCCTACTACGACCCGGTTAGTTGTGCGGTGGAGGATGATATCAGTGCGTTATGGACTACCTCAATCCTCTTCCCCAACACGAGTCGCGATTGCAGCCACGCTGTATTGATTCAGAATGGGAAACACGAGGAGGCGGGATGGACGTTCACATACGACCGCAGTTACGAGATCTTCAGGGCTGTGCGCATCGATGATCTACGAAACGGCACAACATACTTCACCGGGCCAATACCGAACCCTACCTCTCAACCGAAACTGGTACCATGTACTCTACCCGCGGCCTCTTACCATGGCGAGCTCGTATCGGCTGGCTTTCAAGGTAAGGACGTTTGGATCTACGGCATTCCTGAGGACCTGGATGCAACACCCGAAACGTCCAGCACGGGCAATGAAGGTACCTCGAACCCAAGTGCTCTGAACCGCCGCAACAGTCAACCGCCACCTCGAAATGGCTCACGCACGCAGGAAAATGATCCATCCAGAGTCCCTCAATGGCAAGCGCTCGACAAGTTGCGCAACAAACTTATCGCCGGACGCAAAATCGGCCATCTAGAAGGGGTGCATATGGTGAAGTGGGTTGGAGACTTTGAGGATTCGTCGGTGAAGGAACGCATGGTTATCGGTGCTCGAGGAATAACACCCACCAAGCCCATCACGGAGGATGATGGATTTGACTTTGTGGACGGTGGTCGGATCACAGTGATCGACTTCGACTACAGTCTAAAGAACGGCTCTCCTGTCGAGATTGTTATCGATGTGGGATCCAAAGAGCCTGAGGTACTAGAGGAGGAACACCGAGATATCGAAGCTGAAGTCGCCATTGTACGGCGGAGAACGGTTATGCAAAATAGAGGGAGTCGTGGCGGTTTGATGCGAGCTGCTACCAGCGCAGGAGCTGTTCCTCTTGTCCCAGCCCTTCCTTCTGCTTCGTCACTTGCCAGCCAGCCTTCAGCGTCATTCCAGGAGGATGACGACCCTCTCGTACCTCGTCGTGTTGGAGCACTTCCTATTCCCCGAATTGAAGCACCTTTGATAACCGAGGATACCGAGGAAATCGCGTCAATCGAAGAGCAAGAGGCCTTGGAGTCACCATACGCCCATGCCAGCCCCCGATCGGCTCCTACTCTCAGGCGTGCTGCCACTGCTGCTGCTGCCAATCGGCGCTTACACCCGCAAGCTGCTGCTGGTGGTCCTGTTCAGTATCGTCGCGCTGATGGCCGAGCCGAACATCCTCATGAAAGCGACGCCGACAACTGGGTTCCTCCCCCACCTCCATACCAGAAGGAGGACCCTGGTGACTTGCCGGCTTTCCTACGCCATGCTATTCCGCCTGTTATCCCCGCCACCATGTCCTCGACTCAAACAGACGATTACCTGGATCAAATGCGCAGGCCAAAATCGATGTTGGAGGTACCTCAAAGTCATACAGCGATACAAGTCCCACAGACAGGATCCTCTATCCCGCCTGTACCGTCCCTCTCTACCATTCCGCCAGTTCCTTCACTACCACAGCAATCGTCGTCGTCTTTGATACAGTATCATAGTGGCGGCAGTCTCACGCATTTGCCACACCTGATCCCGTACCAAGAACCACAAAGGCCATCTTCCACCGGCTCCCGATATGTGGGAGATGAGAACATTTACGACGTCTCTCCGCCTGATTCACCCAAGATGTCAGGGGTAAACCTATCTGCTGGCGGAATTCAGGCGCGTAGCGTGAGCGATAGTGGAATAGTGAGCTCTCTTCAGGTGAACTTAGCGGCCTCAACCTCGGCGTCATCTTCGCAACAGTCACACCTACCATTATCTCTCTTGCAGACAGACATTGCACCTCCACAGCAGTCAGGGTTGCCATTTGCTCTATACCCCCACAACCCGTCACCACATATCGTCATGCCAACAGAGAGTGCAAGCAGTCCGGTAGTTAGGCGGCTTTCCAACGCTGGGACATGGCCCTTGGTATCCAACCAGCCAAAAGCCCCAGTGACAGCACCAACTGACTTCATACACTCAGCGCTTCCTGTAGAAAGGGGCGAATACTATCTGCCAGCCCCTAGCCAGGATCAGTTGAGGCGTCTGAATAGCCGCTCGGGAGCTCCCCGGCGTCTTTCGGGGGGCTTCCACCCTCCACCCGACTTTCTCGGTGACGACTTCAACAACCGCTCTGCCTATTCCCAGCCTGCATCCCGCCGACCCTCAGCATTCGAAGACGTGCCTCTAATAGTCAGTACACCACAGGGTGTCTCAGGGGCCTTCGACCCGCCCGGTCGACACGCGTCCGGTCGTCGGGGCGACCCTCCCCTTCTGGCTCCCGTTCCACGCCATCCGCGCCCGCAGACGCAATCAGCCGTCATCGGAAACCGTCCAACCGTTGAGCGGCTTGAGACCATCTACAGCGTTGCGAGCAACGGTGCCAACTCGAACGCTGCTGGCGGCCTCGGTCTCGACATCCCTACGGCAACTAGATCCCTCTCGACATCTACGAACGGCGCCACCCGCGCGACGAGCCTCAACAGACGACAGAGCCGAGCAGAGAGGAGTGCGGCTAAGAACATTGCTGATGCCAAGAAAAAGGGATGGATGGGTGGTCGAAGTCGGACCAAGAGTGTCAAGGAGAAAAAGGTGAAAGGGAAGAAGCAGAAGCATGGAGATCATCTGGATGACGACGCGAGGAGTACGTGGACGGATATTACGTCACATAGCTTTCTGCCAGGTGGTATGAAATTTGAGAGTAGTGAGCAGGCGGCACAGGCCGCTAGGGAGAGGGCAGAGAGAGCGGGGGCGAGGGAGAACAAGAGAGAGAAGAACCGGGGGAAGGGTAAAGGGAAGGAGAAGGAGGAAGGGGGGGAGAAGGGAGATAAGAAGTGTGTTGTTATGTGATGTGATCACGAAAGTGATGGAAGTTTGTGTATCTGGAATGATTGGATAGGAAGGAAGTGGGCTTGGTAGTAGGGATGATGTTCGATATAGATTTGGGCATTTGACCTACACAGAAGTCATTGCACGAGCTAAGTGGTAATTCATAATCACTTAGTTTGTCGGATATAGCATAATTGTCCACAAACTAGAATAACCTATTTAACTCGTCTTTGCAATTCGTAAACTCGGGTAACAATGTCATCATCTATCGAAACATCATCGTTGCCCATCATAACAAGTAATGCTGGTCCTGTAATCCCATAGCTAGTATTACCCATTCGGTCACTCTGCTTCGCCTCTTCGTTTTTCATCGCCGCCCCGTGTCTCCTATATCCCCCAAGTCTCTCAACGTCCAAGTCCGCTCCCTCCTTGTCCATCACCCATCCTCCTCTCCAAATCCTTCACCTCCTCATTCCAGCCTTCCTCAGCAGCAACACCCTGTTCCTGCGCGCTGGAGCCGGGGGCGTGTTCGCTTGCGCCTTTTCCTCCTTCTTCTTTGGCATCACTGCTACCAGCAGTTGACGCATCTGATGTGCCCAAGATTTGCGCTTTGGCTTCTGATGAGAGGGGGACTCCTTGGTTGGTGATGGAAGACGAGGAGGGGGTTTGGCCTTGAGAGGCGAAAGTCGGGTTGGCGGTTGGAGAGAAGGCGGGGGATTGGATTGCACCGTTGCCTGCTGCGCTGTTTGTTGCCATTTTCTTTTTTTTTTTTTTTTTTTTGGTGGAGGCTTTCGAGCGATCTGAGGGGGGGTTGAGAGTGATTAAACAGATGGGTTTTAGGTGGATGTGTGGAGGTTTATGGCTGTGATTTTGGTGGACGATTGACTGTGTTTGATCTCGAGATGGGGAGTGGTCAGTTTTTGTGTGGTCTGGAAGTACAGGCTTGGTGAGATTGGACTTTTCTTTTCTGTAATTTAAATGATGTCAGGAAGTGGTTGGGGAGAAAAGGGTACTCGATTGTTTCGAAGTGATTGTGTACGGTATATAGGTAGGCTTATGGTGGTTTGCTGGTGGCCGTCAAGGTACTGTAGGTAGCGCTAATGATGTCACTGGCCAGACCGCGATAAGAGTGCTGGGGGGGGGGGGGGGGGGGTTTCGATAAGGCTCATGCTAAATGCACGGGCCAAGCATATCACGGAGTTCACCTCTAACCCCTGTCCCTGCTCACCTCGGTGTAGATCCGGCCGAACGGCTGACGTTGGGAGCTGTGGAAATGAGATGAAGTGAGGTTCATCGCATCAGCTGACCGAAATTCCGACGCTTAACCTCATGAAGCTGGGCTTACACGAGATCTAATGGGTCGATAGCATACCGACAACCGAGCTCAGTCTGTTGTCGCCTGGTTTCGCATATCCATATCGGACGTCCAGGTGAGCGAGTCATTGCACACGTTCTCAGCCAACGAACGCCGAGATGTTGTTGACGCTCGTCCCCAGGGGCAGGGTCGGGTTGTTCCCCGGAATCTCTCCACCGTCATCTCAACGGGCATTCCTTGCTTTGAAGGGCACGACGACAACTTACACACCCAACCTCAAACACCAAGTTCAAGTCCAATACAGCACTTTCCGAGACAACAGAAGAAATGTAGACGGCATCACCGATCCCGAAAAGGCTCTCCCAAGGACAGTCAAATGTCTTTCGGTCGCCATAAACCCCGAGGCCTGGGATGACTTTCTTTCTGGAAGCCCGGGAGAAATATACAAGAAGCGAATGAATGTGAGTACATCGTCATGTCTCTCTGCTCGGAACAAGCAACTCACGCTTCTCGGAAAACAGCCACGAAACCCACGTGTCTTCATCAGCCCCGCTATACGCCATTTCTACCAAAGCATCCTCTCCCATGGACCAGAGGTTCGAGCGGACTGCCTAGTCATTCTCGCTTCCTTGCGTTACTTCCAGGAAGTACAGTGCGCTCATACATTTCTGTTCAACACGGTAAATGAACTCTTCCCGCGCACAGAAGTGGGGCCCTTGAAGGACTCCGAGGTACTCAAAGACAGGTTGAACGTCGTCACTGCCGTAGTAGACAAGATCCCGTTATGGCAAGTGCCCGGCTATGCTCCCAACGCCACCCTGGCTTCAGAAGGGTTCAGTATCATCTGTGGACAGAGCGAACATCTTTTGCCTGGCCTGTGGGACAACTCAGACTTCTCATGGAGCAACATGAGGAACGAAACAGACCCTCTCTTCCTCGAGCGAATGTACCGTCGTCTCAAGGTTGCTCCCAAAGGAAACGCCAATGTCGAAAAGCCGATGCCCTATTCCTCTGGACCACCTCCCGTCCTCGAATTTCGCATCAATCCCCTGCGCGACGACAACCGGCCTGTACAAGTCGCTTTGCCGCTCGCCAACACCAGTTATGCTACTTCTACCGCAGCCCAACAACGTGGTACGACACCCCACATATTAGAGGTTTCGGCTTGGGCGCGGTCACCGGAGAAGCAGAAGCTGCGTCCCATACACGTCGAGGCAAACACCCGGACTCATGTCACCATCCAAACGACATCCTTGAAGCAGCCCTGGCCAAGTGAGCTTTGGTTCCAACTCCTGCCCATCACATCTCCGCGCAAGATTGTCAGCGGTTTGGGAAACATCCTCAAGCAGGTTGAAATTGACGGCGAGAGCGTCCCGGCTAGCAAGGAGCTCGAGGATGTGATCCCGAAGCTGCTTTCCATGAGAGCCAGCAGTCACAGACCACTTAAGCACACGTCAGATAGCCACGCTGTTAAGGTCTGGGCTCTCGTCATCCCGGATGAGGTATACCAGAAATATGCAAAGTTTCAGCCTCCTGTGGATCTCGCCATGCAATTGCCACCTCCTTTTGATTTCGAACAGGCCAGTACTGCGGACGAAAAGAGATTAGCTGGAAGGTGTAGTAAGGCTCTACAGGGCCTATTGGTAGCCGGATGTCATCTCCGGGAAATCCGTAAGTCGGCCTCCACATTTTCTAGTTTACACGCTCTATTCGCTCATGTACATGTATATATATATGTATACATATATACTTACTAAACGTCCAAACAAACAGTAAGCGGGGGCGGAGGCTGGGGCGCCAAACAAGGTCTCCTCTCCCTTGACCCTCAGGATCGAGATAATCACCGTAAAACCCCCACGAACAGCAGCAAAGACAGCGAGAACAACGAAGCTGAGGAAGAAGACGACGACGACATGGAAGGCCTCGAGCGTTTCCTCCGCACCCTCCGCGGGGAGCAAAACGTGGGTGACATCGCCTCACCCGGTTCCTGGGTCCAGTTCTTTGTCGCGCCCGCCCACCTCGAGCGGCTGCCTTGGGATGCGTCCAAGAGTGTCGTCAATACTCGCAGGCCGGCAGAAAAGTTGACTTTGGGCCTCACGGATGCGGTCGAAGAGTATACCCCTACATGGGATCCAGACTTTACGGAGAACAAAGACAGCAACAGGTACAAGTACCTCTGGCGGGATCCAAACGGCGTGGAGATTTTTACGTACCAGTTTGGTGCGCTTGCGAACGGGAGTCTATGGCTGGACTTGAAGAAGCCAAGCGAGTTGACGGCGACTACGGAAAACAGCACGAATAATATCAATAACAACGGACAAGAAGAAAAGGATCTGTGGAAAGATTTGGAGACCGATTCGGAGAGAAAGATTACGGTTCCGGAATTCAATCTTCGAGCGGACATCGATAACCCGCTGTACGTGGTGAAGGTGAAAGAACCTGGTGAGGATGAGCAACAGCGGCGAAAACAACAGAGGGAGGAAGTAAAGTTGTTTGAAAAGATAAGAAAGATCCCGACAGGGAGGCGAAAACTGGCGATTTAGGCACGAGTAAGAGGTATAAGTAACAGGACTCCTACTGGAGGTGCTAAGATCGATGCCAATTAGGGTAGACATGGGCTTCTTTAGATAGTCGCAAGACGAGAGCATTCCACATAATTACCTCTACAGATGTCGGGGTGTGAGTCTGTTGAACGGCAAGTCTCAAATTGATATCCCATGTCTAAAAGCGTTTTTTTCTTTTTGTTTTAGGAGATCCTCCACTTTATTAATTCTACTCTGTATCATCTCTCACCATCATCAATATTCATCCACAGTCCGTACCACATCATTTCTCACACCCCTCCCCTTCCTTCTCTACTGCCCTCCTCTTCCTCCTCCCCTCTAACCCCTCCCCCATTGCCTGACACAAATCCTCCAAATCCAACCCCCTCCTCCTCTTCCCCACCTTCTCCTGCCCCAAAACCGTCTCGTCCGCCACAAACCTAAACACCCCCGCCACATGCTTGAAAACATCCTCCTTGTCCTCATCCCACCCCACTTCCTCGTCGGTAAAAGTCTTGCTAATCTCCTCCATCTCCCTCACCCACCGGTATGCCTTGGGCGGCAACGTGGTAACGTACCGCGTCATGGTGTTCAACCGCGAAGGGGCCAGGCGTTCCAGAGAGGAGAGAAAGGAGGGGAGGATGCGAAGGGAGTGGGCGGTAGAGAGGGAAAGGAGAGAGAGGGCTGCAAATCCCTTGGCGAGGGAGGCGTAGACGTTTTTGAGGGCTGAGGCTTGGCCGATTTCACTGCTGCTGCTGCTGGTCCGCTGCTTTTCGGCACCGGAAGAAGAGTTTGGGTCAGGATCGGAGAGCATGTGTTCGATGTGCAGAGTCGAAGCAAAGTGGTTGCCGTAGGGGTAGGGAAAGGTGGTTTCATCGGTGAAAGACCAGGGACCCGAAGTGGGGAGGAGAGGGTAGGACCAGCCGGTGGTAGGGTCATGGAGAATGTCTTCTTGAGGGAAGGAGGCGACGGGTTTGGTTGAGGTTGATGCGGCGGGGATTGGAGCCGCCGGGCCGGTTGACGAAGGGCCTAGGGCGGTGATGCTGCTGGTCTGCTGTTTCCGAGAGGGAGTGACGCCGAGGATACAGCCGTCTACAAAGCGAACATCGCGGTCAGGGTCGAGGCCGGCGGTGGTGAACTGGGCGGCAATGGATTTGACGGTGGAAGGCGAGATGGCGTTCATGTCGGCGAAGTAGAGCGGGGTACACCGAGGGTTGGGCCCGGACGAAACACGCTTGAAAGCGGTGATGATGCGTTCAGCTGTGGCAGCGGCTTGAGCGGGCGGAACGATAGAGAGGATCACGTCGCATTGGGTGATGAGGGCTTCATCTGTGGAGAGCAGCTCAGCGCCGACGGTGATGGCACGGTCAATGGTGTCTTGGCTAGTTGTTGACGTTAGTGGTGGTTTTCATGATGCGTCCAGACACCTTGAGATCTCACCTTCTTCCTGTGCAGTTTGTAGCAACGGCGTAGCCATTCGCAATGAGAAGGCTGGCAAGAGCGCTGCCCATATCGCCCATCGAGATGATGCCAATCTTGGCTCGGGGCTCTTGCCCCTCTGCCTCCGTGTTTCCGGACATTGCCAAGGTACTCTCCCAAGGTAAACAATGTATGTGTTGTTGATCCGGAGCAGCAGAGGACTAATATCAGGGTGAGATGCGTGAGTCAATAAAGAGTAAATGTCACGGATGAGGGGTGATTTATAATTGTGGGGTTGTTCGACGTTCGGGATGCTACCTATAGATCCGTTCCAGACGTTCATACGAGTCAGGGAAGGAAGGCTTCACGATCTTGGTTTAGCGAACGACGTGTAAGTGATCCTCCTCCAGGAAACAAACTCGGGTCTTCTTGCGGGTAGCGTTAGAGCAACTATCACATCAAAAAGTGAAACAAGTCTTTCTAGGCTGTCCAAATTATGTGCG